TAGTTCGTTTTCGTGGCCATTAGCCAAGCCACTTGATTGTCATGCGTTTTTAGTAGCCTTCTTTGTGTCTATGGGGTGTGGCTTGAGGGCCGTTAATTGGTACGAAAAACATCGTGTCCCTCAGTTTAATCCATTCAGCATTTTGCCTATTCAGGTGAGCTAAGTGTTTCTACGGCATACCGTTGCAGGGCCTGCTTTGTGTTCCTGATCAATTAGGAGTAAGGGTTGATCTGACTGCTTTCGGACAATACGTCGATCGCCGGGTCGTCGGTTAAGTTCGCCTTCGACCACAATGTGTGGTTCTACTTTTCTTGTGCCCCATCCGTAAATCTTCAGTAAATGCTGTCACAGTTGCACATCGGTTTCTGTATAAGTGCCTCCCCACACACACAAAGGGCGCATATCTGAATTTCGACCACGGTTCTAAACACTAATGCCATTCAGGCTGAGGTAAAATATGACTTTCGTCTCTTTGACATGAAGGCAGCGTATATCCGTAAATTTACAACTTCAACAAAACCTTTCAGGAACGGCTGGTCCACTTACTTCATAAACGTCAGCTGCACATTCGTTCCAAGGAATTTTCTGCCCCTCTCCATTACTTGCAATTATTTTCGCTAAGTAGTGGCCAATATTTAAATTCACTAATGTGCATAAACAACCGTATTGATACAAACAAACACAGTCGTCATTGGGGTCGTTATGAACAGTCAAATTTGTGCTACGTTGTATCATGTTAAGGATCATAAAGTGGTAAAAATTAGGAGGAGCTTGCTTTAACGACAAATTTACGTTTTGCTGACGAAGAAGAGAACCAACTAAATTTTCTTCGCCTGACCATTGTAGCCGTCCACACGATGCTGCGTTTCTCTCAATTTTTCGATCGTTATAATTCTATTAATTTCTCTTACACGAAATAAAAAATTCTTTGCCGGCTAACGCTGCTTATCGGGTTTGTTATTGCTTATCGAATATGTTCTCCAACGCTTTGAATGATGCACAGCCCGTCTTCAGTGAAAGAAATAACGTAGTGCAGTTAATAATGTTTCATTTTAATTTGTACCGCCAAGTTACAATTTTACAATCGAGGTTTTAGCTTCGATGGTGGAAGCTGCTGCATTGTTTCGTTTCATTGCGAACTTAGGTCCACAACAACATTTTTTCATGCATTTGTTTGATTGAACTGCAACGCTTCCTTTATCTTTTGAGTTGAAAATTTTTTTCTCTCGGTGTATCCCTTTTATTTGCTTCAGTAACATGCTCTACTGCTCTTGTACGGAGTGTCGCACAGCCGCCGGGTTTTTTTTCGCATTCCTGCTTTACCTCCTGTGGATCTCACATTCTTTAATCCCACCGATCCATGTCGCCCTTTGCCTTTCTGTGGTTATATCGCCGTTGCACCAACGTTACAGATTGCAGAGGTATTATTTCTTCGTGTTGACCTGTTTCCTGCCATCCTAACTTGTTTCTGGTATAACTGAGCCCGCACTCCCAACGTAAGTTGTTGATGCAGCCTTATTGTTTGGCATTTGGCCGGATATTTGGGATTTTGGATTTTGGTGATCTTTTTTTCAAAACCGCCGTATACCACGCTTTCCGCTTTGACGTTGCACGCGTGGAACAGTAATATTGGCGTTGAGGTTCTTCTGTTTGCTTCTAGTTATTTGCCTGCAAATCCTCTTCTGCTGGTTGCCGACTGATTTTTCTATTAGCTGTCTGTGGTAGCCAGTGTTTTAAATTTTCTTATAGACATATCGGATGAATATTATATAAACTGTCATCAGAAAATATGTTGTATAGGCCATTCAATAATGAACAAAGTATGAAAGTGCTGTGTCGAATGCATATAGTGTTTATTTATCTGAAAAGATTATTAACAGAAGCCAAAAGTTGAAAAAAATATAAAAATACGGTTTGTTCATGCATAATGCCGGCAAATTGCTCAAATAAATGAATAACCGGGACCTATCGTTTCGCCCCGGCCTTCCTCAGGTTCATTTCCTTCGACCTTTGGAGTCAAATGTAAAAGTTAGCTGTGAATCACAGACGAACTGTGGAAATCCTGTCCACCCTGCAGAAGGCCCCTGATACACGAGCCGAAATTGCGGTATTGGTTAATCACCTGATTGACCAGCGTGTTTGCTTTTGCGTTGTGTATGAACAAACCGTGGCTTTCAGTATGATCACCAACTTACTGAAGAAATGCTCAATCATCGAATAGTAACAAACGCCCAGATATTGCGTGATGAAGATTAGAAAGACAGAGGATACCCAAAGAACGATGGACGGACGGTGAGATAAACGCAATCCATTGGCGAGAAATGACATGGAATTAATGTCGACTTAACTATATTAACTTATCTATGCAAGCTGCAGTGCACTGGCATACCGGTAGGGTGTCCCTTTGCCATTATTTACTATCTCTTTGTCTGTCCATCTCCCCCCTCCCCGGTACCTGGGCTGATTTTCAGAAGTTTGCTGGTCTCTGAGCCTCATTCCTACAGCCGGATTTACCTGTGCCTTGTATATGTCGGTGACCGAAGCCTGTGCCACCGAATAGCATGTCGGTCACAATAATACCAACAGTGAATCAGTCTGTGAGCGATTTAAAACAGTTTTTGACGCAATGATTTGGACTGAATTTTCAGGTAGTGCGGAGTGCTGCAATTTCGAATCTACAACGCTTTTTTCTCTGAAGCCGATTGAATTCTATAACGTTTTCTTCGAGCACCACTTCAACTCTCATCGTGGTGATACTCGCTTTTGCGACTCATTGACGATCATTAGCCGAACAGCCTGTCAAAGTAACTGTCAGCATGAATGGGGGCTTCGATGTATTTCGTGTTTCAGCCGGTGAAAGTGAGTCAATCGAAAATTGCCCCTCGTTGAAGAGACCGGTTTGTAATCTCGCCGACGACTCGTCGTTTAAGTTAAGAATCCAGCGACAGCTGGACCGGACTGATTGGGCCTTTGATCGCCGCCTTCGCTGAGAATTAGGCCATCTCCATTCGTCACATCTGTCGTTCCATTCTTGACCTAGGTTCAGGCTTCCCAAGAGCAGTATCTTCCCCTTACCTCAGTAGCCATATGACTCAGTAAGTAGAGGATCGCATTATCCTTCCAAGATTCGTGTGGAAGAGCGCACATTACGGTGATCACTCGTCTGTGTATATTTGCTTCATTACAAAATAAGACACTGATAACATCGGGACCATAAATTCCATGAAAGTACAATGAAACAGTTATCGTTAATCATCAAGGCTTATGGGACATCGACACTCCAACGGTATTTTCTGAATCTTTCATTTGTTCCTTAATATTAATGTTGAACGTTGTTAGCTGATATACACACTCGGCCGCATGGGAAAGCGAGTTTCTCTTTGATTCGTTTGAACCGTTTGATGAAACAGATAAAGTAGTTAAAGCGTCGGCTTAAAATCGAAAGCCGAAGAATTGCAGCAGCTTCGAATCCCACTCTTATCACTCACCAGTCATCCTCTCCAGGTAGATATGTGAGTACCACTGTATGTGTAGCCACACTTGTAGTAGATACATAAATTAAGAAAAAAGCGGCTTGAAGCCTCGAATTAATCTGTCTGAAGCGTTTGGAACCGGCAGCGGTATTCTGTACCAATTAATAATATCGTAGTGATAATCAGCAGGTGATGTTAGGCTACTTAATAGCTGCTTATCTGTTGATCACTTTAACGGATTTAGCTGCCCAGTTTTATGTGTTGTTTTGAAAAACATATTTCATCCCTGACTGATGACATATCAGGGGATATTGGTGCTGCACCATAATCTTCATGCGCAATTATCGTCCATTCTGAGTTGCGTTTACGCGATGCTGACGTCGAAACGATAAAAACTTTTGCTTCTTTTTTTGTTTCGGAACAGCTACAGGATAGAAGGAGAATACTGGATGGAATATGGTAATGTCTACGTGAAAACTTTTATCCAGAGATTCTTAGTGCGCATCATCACCAGTTCAACCTGGTTCTAATTTCGTTCCATCGTCCTCCATAAATTATGCTTCTAAAAGGTTGATGGGCCGTGTCAGGAGAGAAATATGCATGGTGAACTCCAGTACTTCGAGGTACGCTTTTAATCAGGGTATTTTTTTGCTGTCAAAAGTACTTGACCTTCGAGTCATGACCAAGACTGTCAACTCATACTTACTCGGCTTGGCGAGCTGTACGATTCAAGTTTAATTGCGCACCTCCTTGGTCATTTTAGCAGCTAGGAAAAGTGTATCAATTTCATCTTGACATGTTGTTCCTACTTGAGTACTTGAAGAGTCACCACCCATTTTCAAGTACTTCAGTGGAACGATGAATTGTATGCTTTCCGAAACGGTTGGCGAACGAATCGGTAACCATCCAAGGCATAGAGTCATGGTCATACTTATAAGACTAGTCTGTTCACCATAAGAAGTTCTGGTTTAAAGCCCCGCCCGAAGGACCACCTTTCACTATCTGTGTTAATCCGCGAAGAGCAGAAAAACATTTGTTCAACATGCTGTCCACCTTGTAGGCAGATGGTGACGCCATCAGATTTTAAACATGATATAAATACACAGTTACATATGAGATTAGCATCGTTATGCATATATTGAGATTAAGCTGTAAAAGGGCTGTTTCTGCAGGATGGCTTTATCCACATTTGTCAAGCACCTCTTGTCTGGACGTCAGCTACGGGAATGAGACGGAACACATCGCGGTAGAGATTACGATGGAAATCCGAGATCGCAATCCAAACTCGACATGTCGTTATGACGGCGGCTGTGTACCGAAGTAATTAAGTCGACGTCGTAAGTCGTGGTGTGTGCGGGAAGCGTTGAGTACCGCCGACTCGAACTCGGCGGTGTTTGTTAGACCAGTGATCATGGTCTCCCGGTAATCCGATGATCATCAGACGTCGCGCCGGCGAATCATACTAGGCTAATGCTAAATCCATTCCGATGACGTTCGTTAATCCGTCGCCTTCGTCATAACAAACTTGCCGGCACCAAAGCTTGTTTGCGGTGTCAACTGGAACACGGTGTTATTGACCCCGGGGCGGGGTTTTTCTGTCACTTAATACTAATTTTACTTAATGCGAAGAACGTCTTATGGTCAACGCCGACAAATAAGCAGGATGCTTAGAAACGACCAAAGCTGTTATGTAAATTCGTCAAGTAGCTGTGTTTAAAACCATCCAGGCAGATACTTAACCAGAATACGGTGTTTGCACTTTGAGCCTTGTTACATCGTCTTGGCTGTAACGAAGATACGGACAGCAAGTACTGTTTGAAGTTGGTCGAGTGATTTTTTAGTCCGGTCGAATCCAGTAAAGGCCACCCAGAGAAATAACTGACCATAGGCCGCACAGCTTCGTGCATTGATCTTTCTTTAGAAAGGTGGCGGACGGCAATCTCCAGAGATGTTGTGACTTATCTGGAATTTATACTATGCTGATTTGCCTTATGATGGGTGAAGATTCAACCGGTCACTTGTTTAATTGCCTCGCTCAGCATTTTCCAGCCATTTCAAGGTTCATGACAGTGTTAAATGCTGCTACAAATCAAGCATCACATTCATATCTGCATCATAAAGAGTACAGCAGCCCTAACCATAAATCTGATATTGGAAAACGTAAGATCATCTAACTTACAGAGGTCAGGGGACAGTTATAAAAATATTTACCGATCTTATAAAGGGTTTCCCGCAATATGATAAATATATTGTCAGAAACAATGAGGTTGCTTCTTATATCGTCGTCTTTCATGCGTATAGTAAATGATAACGGCAGAAAATATCATCCTCTGATCAGGAGGCGATTGAATTAACGTGTAGGTTTGAAAAACACCGTTATGGTCTAGAACATGAATCGTCATTGTTTATTCAACGTGAGAAAATATTTCTTCGTCTTTCCCTTCAGGATGAATAAGGAGTGCAGCCTTGAATCCTCCTTTCCTGGTTTATGGCCACAGTGTTCTTTCATTGTTTTAAGTTAATAGGGTAGAAGGTCAGATGATAAGTTTACATCGCG